GAGGGGGGAAACTGAGGCACCGCGCTGTTCGGGCACTGCCACGCTCTGGCATGGGGGCTGGGGGAGTCGCAGTGCGTGGGTGCCCCCCTGGGTGCTCAGCATCGCTCCCGGTCAGGGTGGGAGCCAGGTGGGACCCCTAGCTGCCTGGGTTCCCCTGGGTGCTGCTCGGCCTGGGCATCCCCCAAGCCTCCCGTGCTGAGGTGCAGGTGCTGGGGTGGCGGGGAGGCCCTGGGGGTGCTGCGCTGGGAGTGCCTGGTTTTAATTAAAACTCCCCCCTGTGATCCTGCTCTGGCTTGGTGCATCCCTGGTGCTGCCAGCTGAATCCAGGGCTGCTTTCAGCCAAACTTGACAGAGGAGTCAGGAGTGCTCCAATCTCCTCCTTCTTGCTTAAAAGCAATGAACCTGACCTAAAAAAAACACAAAACCAAACCAACCAACCAAAGAAAAACAAAAAAAAAAAACCCAAAAAAACCAAAAACCAAAACCAACCAACCAAAAAACCCCACATTGCATAATGCATATATTTTCCTTTCCCAAAGAGGGGAGAGGCCTGGGACAGCCCAGCTTTCAGACAGCCCCGGGAGCTGCAGATCGTGGCCCTGCGCCGGGGGAAAGCGCTGCCCAAGCGAGGGGTCCCCTGGCCCTGGGGTACGGGCAGGCTGTGTCTCTGGCTCTGTCCTGGGTCAGTGCAGTCAGCCCCAGGGGCTCCCTCTCCACTGAAAGGGGGAAACTGAGGCATGCAGTGGCCCCACTTACCCTGGGAGGTGGCACTCTCCTAGGACGGCTTCCATCTCTGTCCCACAGTGGGATTGGTGTCCTCACGTGGGGTTTGGCAGCAGGGGTAGGAGGTTTGGGGTCCTGGCAGAGCCTGGTTGTGGGGCTCAAGGTTTGGCTCAGCACCTGATCCACTCCAGCCCAAAGTCTGGCCGTGCCGGGCTGTTCCCCGGGTGCAAGGGGCTCCCCCGGGGCCAGGTGAACTCAGCCTCCCACAGGGACTGAGCAACCTTTGGAAGCTTTTTTCTTCCTTAAGTTGATTATTCTGTTCCTCTTCCAAATTGGAAACAGAAACTGAAATTTCCCATGAAACAAATTCTGCCACCGCCTTCTCCCTGGGGAAAGGAAAAGAAAACAAAAATTTCAATTAAAACCATTAGAAGCCTCTGAAATTAAAGCTGCGGTGAAGCGAAGCTGCTTGTGCTTAGCCTGTCAGTTTGGGCTGTGTGTGGCCGGTGGTGCTGGCTACAGGGTGGCATTTGGAAGGGCCACAGGGAAAGGTGTGCTGTGGGTGCAGTGGTGGCCGTGTCCCCAGCAACCCCTCTTGCTTCAAGCCACTCTTTGCCTTCCATTTCAGCTTCCAGCAGTGGCTCGTGAAAAGAGCATTTTGTGTGCACCAGGAGCATCCCAGCACAGCCTGGTGCTCCCTGAGATCTCTGCTGTCTCCCCAAGGGACCTCTATCCTGCTTGGGGGTGGCTTCTATGGGACTCCCCTCCTCTGGGGTAAAGGGATGCTGGGGATGGAGGGAGCATGACAGGGTGCTGCTTTCTGGGGAGATGAAGTCAGGGAAGGGGAAGGTGCCCTGGTGTAACACGAGGAGCAGAAGGAATTTGTTGGGGCTGGGGGAGAGGGGGAAGCCTCTCCTGAAGCAATAAAGGGAGCCCGGTGACTTTGCCAATGTTATTCTGAGCTGGGAAAATATTATTGCAGTGTTTTCCGTGGCTGGGCACAGCCACATGGGAGGACTGGTGATGCTGGGAGGGCATGAGGAGGAGGGTGCCCTTGGGGGGATGGGGTTGGAGGGGCCCCTGGTGCCAGCCCTTGAGTGGCTTGGTGGGGATGGGAGCTGTGTGCGATGGGATGGAGGCGGCTGTCACCCCCCGGGGAGGGACCCTCTCCTCCTTGCAGGAACCAAAGAAGCATTTCCCACCAGGATGGGCAAAATGTCACCTCCTCACTGGAAATGACAAATGTCCCCTCAGCAAGAGCAGGGCTTGGTACCGCGGTGTCCGGGGCTGCTGGCATCTGGGGTTGTCCCAGCACCACTTCCTCTGGCCTGGGGACATGTGTGGGGGATGCTGGGGCTGGGGGCTTCCCTGGCGTCAGCAGTGGTGCTGGCAGCCTGCCCCGGCCGAGGGTGTCTGGGGACACAGCTGTGCTCATCAATGGGGCTTTGTCCTCCTCCTCCTCTGCCTGGTGGTGTCAGTGGCCCCGGGGTCGGGGCAGTCGCTGGGAGGGGGTTTCAGAGCCTGATGAAGCTGAGCTGCTCCCTGTCACCCTCTCCCTCTGTGACAGCTGGATGGTGCCACCATGCCAGGGTTTTTGGCCTGCTGACCCCAAAAGTAATTTCCCACTGGAAGCCAGTCGTCCCACCGTGCCGCGGCGGGGAGGAAGCCTCCCCGACAGCAGGGTATGATGGCGGTGGTGGCTGCAGCGGGCTTTGTGTGCCGGTTTCCCCATGGCACTGGCCAGGTGCCTGCTATTGTGTCCCCGTCTGGCACCTCGTGGGGACAGGACTCGCTTTCTGCCCACTCCGTGTCTGCTCTCACCACTTTCCCTGGCTCCTTGTGAGCCCAGCCCAGGGCTGTTGGCTGGCATGGCCTTCACCAGGCTCTCGTGTACCCCAGCTCGCTCCACGGTGGTTCATGGATGGAGATGGATGCTGCTGCTCACAGTGTCTGGGAGCCGCTCTTGTGCTGGCCCTGGGATGGCTCCATGACTCCCAGAACAGCAGGGGGGACTCTCCTGCCTCCAGTCACCCTCTGAAAAAGCCAGGACCCCTTGGTACCACCAGCCAAGTGGGGGTCTAAGCCTCCTTTCACATTTCCCAAGTGGGTATGAAGGGCATCTGGAGGCTGGGAGCCCACAGGGTACTTGTGGTTGTGTTGCCCTTCTCCATCTTTCCTTGCCATGATGCCCCTTTGCTGCAGCACCCTCTGAGGGGTGGCTCCCAGGGGTGTGAGAGGGTACATAGCTGTGGGACGTTGTCCATCGCTTTTCCCTCCTGTCCTTGCATTGGGTGACAGCTCAGGGCCCCAGGGCTGTGCTGTCTGGCTGGGAGGGCTGGGAGCTGAGTGGGCTGGAGACCCTAGTGTGCACAGCAAATGGAGGGATGTGGTGGAGCTGATGGGGAACAGGGCATCCTCCAGCCCATGGCTGGGAGGAGACATTTGAGGTGAGCAGTGCTTACAGAGCCCTGCGGGTCTTCAGGGCTGGGGATGGCTTCTCCTGATGCTTCCCTCTCTCCCTGGCAGAGCTCCTGGGCACCAACCGTTCTATCCTCTTCTTTGGCCGCCGAGGCTTCCTGGGCTTCCACTCCCTCTACCTGGATGAGTACCGCGACCGGCTCTTCATTGGGGGGAAGGATGTGCTCTACTCCCTGCTCCTGGATGGGGGCAAAGCAGATGCCAAGGAGGTGAGCTGGGTCCTGCTGAGCACCTTGGGGTCTCCGTCCCTCCCCTGGCACCCCCTGCACCCGTTGCCCCTCCGAGCAGGTGGTGCCCAGCTGAGCCAGGCACCCTGAAGCAAGACCTGCCCTGGGGATGGCGAAATATAGAGCTGCATGCCTGCAGAGACAAGGTGCTGAAAGCATCCATCGCTGCAACAAGCTGTGCCAGGGCTCAGCTGGCAAAGCCCCCAGACCTCTCCTGGCTCCTCCGTGAAGGTGACAGAGCAGAGTGACGGCGCTGAATGGTGGCTCCCCTCCTCCTTCGCCCTCTCCACTTTGACTTCTTGTTTTTCAAGCGTGGCTCTGGGCTGTTTCTAGCCAAAGAAAGTGGAGAAGGAAATTAAATGTCCCTCGGTGTGCTGGGTCACTGCGGTGGGGTCAAGGCCTTGTGTACCCAAGCTGCCCTTGGTGCGGGAGCTGTTGAAGGCTGTGGGGGCACTTGGGCTCCATCACTCCCTGCTGTCCCCCAGCTCCCTTTCCCCACGTCACCTGCAGGCCCATCCCCTTCCAGGCCGGCTCCGGCCATCCCCAGCGTGACTGCCCAAACCGAGCCTGGCTGCGGGCTGTGCCCACCTGGGGTGCATTGCTCAGGAGGGAGGGTCCTTCCCTAGGTGCAGGGTGGGCTCTGGGGAGATGTTGGTCCCTCTCTCAGGCCCTGTCTCCATCCTTATGCCAATGGCAGCCTGGGGACATGTGTCTGCAAGGCTGGGTCCCTGCTGTCCTCCCTCCCAGCTCCAACAGGTCCTTTGTGTTTCAGATCTACTGGCCACCCCTCCCTGGGCAGACAGAGGAGTGTTTTCGGAAGGGGAAGGACCCAGGGGTGAGTCTGGCCTATGCATGCTCTGCCCTCAGCTGAGGGGTCCCCTTGTGCCCTGGGTGCCATTGTCCCCCCAGGGCTGTGCCACATCATCCCATTGGGGACAGCCCCAGGGGTTCACAGGCCAGGGCAGAGCAAGGGACCATCCCGGTGCACAGGAGGGAAACTGAGGCAGGGAGTTGGTGACCAAGCCTGGCCACATGAAACCCTTGCACTGGGCTCTGGAAATCCCATCTCCTGATCAGCCCTGTGGCCACAGAGCAATGGCCAGCGTGCCCCAGACGTGGCTGCAGGGAGTGGACAGGGAGAGCTGGGCTTGGACACTTGAGCTCGACACCGAAAGCCTTGTGTTGTGCCCTGTGGTCTGATCCATCCTGGCTGCCCCTGACAGTGGGAAATCTGGAACTTGCTCAAGTTCAGTGACCTCGCTCCCCAAACCTTACTCTTTTTTACATCCCTCTACCCTGATATAAAGCAGGACTATGGCAGGGAGAAAGTCTCCGCAGCTTCCCCGGCCCAGACGAATTGCACCCTGGGGTCCGCGTTCCCCTCTGCATGTTTATTTTCCAAGCTCTCACTGACAGATCCAAGTCGGGGCAGGCTCGATTTTTTTATTTTTCTTGAACTTTTTTTTTTTTAAACTTGCTATTTTAGAGGCTCTTTGCAAAGGGAAAATAAACAGCGGGGAGGCTGGGAACCCCCAGGGCGGCACAGTGGCCATGTTCCCAGCAGCCGAGGGGCCTCACGTCCTGCTGAGGGGGACGATGGGGGACAGCAGAGCTGGTGCTGCCGAGCTAATGGTGGTGGTGGCTGAGCAGGATAAGGATGGGAGCTCTTTTCCAGTGGGAACTGCCAGGAGAGACCGCGCAGGGTCAGAGGTGCAGGGCTCCAGCCCCGGGGGTGTCAGTGCTACTGATCCCCAGTAGCAGGGGACAATCCCAGACAGTAGCAATCCTGGATGCAGCCAAGGATGCCTGTGGGTATCCATCTCCGTCTCCCACGTTTCCTCCTTTTGTTTCATCCCCGGTGCAAGCAGGAACACAACATGGAAGGACGTCCCTGCAACTGGTCATGTACTGGGTGCCAGGAAGAGGAGGGTCCCCGGGGGCTTGGAGCTGAGTGGGTGACCTTGCTCCCCTGGCCAGCCTGGGCTGTGCGATGGGGTGGCCACAGGGGTGCCCATGGGCAGAAGATGGCCAGGTGCTGGCTGGATCACGTGTGGCTCCCCTGGGGTTGCTCTTGGTGGTAGGAGGACCAGTAAAAAGCCCCATCCTTTTGCCATGGGCTGAGGTCCACCCAGACCAAGTCCATATAAGTCCCATGGGGTGGGTGCAAGCTGCCATAGCCACCCCTGGCACTGGGGTGAAGGCAGAGAGCAGGGGAGCCAGGGCTGCGGCTTGACCATTGTTGTGGCAGGGACCCGGGGGTGGGCAAAGCACCGAGCCCCCACGACCCTTCCTCTCCCCTGCTGTCCCCCCAGACCGACTGTGCCAACTACATCCGCGTGCTGCACCCCTACAACCGGACACATTTGCTGGCCTGTGGGACAGGCGCCTTCCACCCTGTCTGCACCTTCGTCTATGTGGGACACCGCGGCGAGGTATGGCAGCAACGCAGCGGGGTGCCCACACCTGAGCATCCCTGGCGGGACACCCCTGGGAAGTGATGGGGAAGTGGATGCTTGCAGCGAGGCGCCTGCGAGCTGAGCAGGCACCAGCACCAGCCCCTGCGTGCCTAAGCATGGCCCCGCTGCCCGGGCAGGGCGGGGGGCTCACCTGCCTGCTCCCCCTCCCAGCACGCCTTCAGCCTGGACCTTGCCAGCGTGGACACCGGCCGGGGCAGGTGCCCGCATGAGCCCAGCCGTGCTTTCGCCAGCACCGTCATTGGTGGGTCACCTCCCTCGGGACCTGAGAGCCGCTGGGGAGCCGAGACGGCGGGGGGGGGCCCGG